CTAGCAAGGGATTGGACATTCTTTGCATAGTGAATTTTCACTGCATTTACTAAGCTTTGGGGAAAATTTTATAGCAAAGTGTAACTTTCCTTACAAAGTGAACAGTTTATTTGCTTTCCCTAAGGCCCCAATCGCATCTGGGCGTTTGTGATCTTTGGCAGAATTACTGTATTTCTCCCCACGATCCCAAAGCGCTCTGCAAAAATGACAACTCGCACCATGCGTGTTCGGGTGCCATTCATTTTCAATGGCACCCGAACGTGGTGCGGTGTTATCGCGTGATAAATTGTGCTGCAAACACGGCAAATTATATCACGTGACGCTTGTCACTCAAAAAGGAGCAGGTACTTCTTCTGGGGAGACAAGCATTCAAACAAGCGTGGTGCAATTTGTAAATTTTTCAGAGTGCTTTGGGATTGCAGGCGGAATCACAGCAATTCTGCCTGAGATCACAAACACCCAGATGTGAAAGGGGCCTAAATCAACTCCTTTATGTATTTGTGATGTTTACACTTAAAGTGGTTATAAAGGTTTAAGGTTTTTCTATGCATGAAGGTAAAAAACCTTCTCTGTGCAGCATCCCCACAGATTACCCTAATACTCACCTAGGACCATCTCGATCCAGCGATTTGCACTGGAGTCTTGGCTATCCCGGGACTCCCTCTGTTCATTGACTGAGGCCTGTGCTGTGACTGTCTCTTTGGTGGATTGGGCTATCTGTTTGCTGGATGGGGGTGTCTCCTTGCTGAATTGAGATGTTTCTTTGCTATATGGGGATGTCTCTGCTGGATTTGGCTGTCTCTTTGCTGAAAATATGAGGATGTCTCTGCTGGATTGGGCTGTCTCTTTGCTATATGGGGATGTCTTCTTTGCTATATGACTATAAGGGGCCTGGCCTCCCGGGCATCCTGAGCTGCCTGCTCAGCTACAGCATCATTTGTTTTGCTGCTGGTGACAGGTGGGCATGGTTCAGTCAAACGGTGGGAAGGGAAGAGAAGGTCTGAGAGAAAGGTCCGCATCTGGCATCACTAACAGCTGGGATTGGAGCTTAGTTGGTTGGTGGCAGTGAAGAGAAAGGGGGGAGCTTTCATGGACTAGCCTGCCCATTGAATGTGTAGGTGGTGACATTGCTGCTGCACAATTCCTATACCTGTGACCTGAGCAGACATTCCTGCAGACTGGGGTTATACAGCTGCTGAGGGGCTAAATGTAGATGTGGGCCTGTGCTGTGACTGTCTCTTTGGTGGATTGGGCTATCTGTTTGCTGGATAGGGGTTTCTCCTTGCTGGATTGAGCTGTTTCTTTGCTATATGGGGATGTCTCTGCTGGATTTGGCTGTCTCTTTGCTGAAAATATGAGGATGTCTCTGCTGGATTGGGCTGTCGCTTTGCTATATGGGGATGTCTCTTTGCTATATGACTATAAGGGGCCTGGCCTCCCAGGCATCCTGAGCTGCCTGCTCAGCTACAGCATCATTTGTCTTGCTGCTGGTGGCAGGTGGGCATGGTTCAGTCAAACTGAGGGAAGGGAAGAGAAAGTCTGAGAGGAAAGGTCCGCATCTGGCATTACTGACAGCTGGAGCTTAGTTGGTTGGTGGTGGTGAAGAGAAAGGGGGGGAGTTTTTGCGGCCTTCCCATTGAATGTGTAAGTGGTACATTGCTGCTGCACAATTCCTATATCTGTGAGCTGAGCAGACATTCCTGCAGACTGGGATTATACTGATGCTGAGGGGGTAAATGTGGATGTGGGTTGGATTGGGCTGTCTCTTTGCTTAATATATGGATTTTGCCATCTCTTTGCTGGATTGGACTGTCTCTCTGCTGGATTGGGATGTCACTTTGCTCGGATGGAGATGTCTTGTTGCTGGATTGGGCTGTCTCTTTGCTGGATGGGGATATCTCTTTGCTGGATTGGGCTGTATCTTTGCTGAATTGAGATGTCTCTTTGCTGGATTGTGCTTTCTCTTTCCTGGATTGGGCTGTCTCTCTGCTATATGAGGATGTTTCTTTGCTGCACTAGGCTTTCTCTTTGATATTTAAGGGATATCTCTTTGCTGGAGTGGGCTGTCTCTTTGCTAGATGGGGATGTCTGTTTTCTGGATTGTGCTGGCTCTTTCCTGAATTGGGATGTCTCTTTGCTGAATATATAGGGATGTGTCTTTGCTGGAATGGGGTGCCTCTTTGCGGAATATATGGGAATGTCTCTTTTCTGGATTGGGCTGTGTCTTTGTTATATGGGGATGTCTACTTGCTGGACTGGGCTGTCTATTTGCTGAATATATAGGGATGGCTCTTTGCTATATGGGAATGTCTCTTTGCTGCATTGGGCTGTCTCTTTGCTAAATATATGGGGATGGCTCTTTGTTGGATTGGGCTGTCTCGTTTCTGGATTGGGCTGTCTCTTTGCTGAATATATGGGGATATCTTTGCTTGATTGTGCTGTCTCTTTCCTGGCTTGGGATGAAATGGCTATGTATAGGAAGGAGTGGGGGGAATGAAATGGGCATTTAAAGGAAGGTAAGGTGAAAATTTTAACCCCCCTTCCTTTACATGCCTATTTAGCTGCGAAATGGGCATCATGTAAAGGAAGGAGAGGTGAAATGTAGTGGTGACAGGCTTCATATTTTTTTGCCAACATATTTTTATTTCGTACTGTTAAATCTTGAAAACACTGATGACTTGGAACACACATTTCATTTTCATATAATATGCTGTAAGAGCGTTAAAATAAATGTGGGTGCACAGAAGGACTTGGTAGGATGGCCAGTGGGTGGGCCTTGCGGAATGTTGGTGGTCAGGGGAGCACAGGTCTATAGCTGTATAATGGGTCCCAAAAGTTCTGATGGCTGCCCTGACTGCAGCCACAACATGTGAGCCCATCATTACAAGGTAAAGCAAACAAACAACAATATAATTACACTGATACCTAGTTACAACAATAAAAACATTTGAAAGTGTAAAATAATGCTTGGATGTTCTGTTAAGAATCCAAATACATCCCCCATTATACCATCTAATGCGTTTTAAAGACATTCAGTGACAGAAAAAAAATGTAATATATATTGACTTTAGATCAGTCAAAACTGCCATCTGTGATAACTCATGTTTAAACTTTGCATCACTAGAGTTTATTTTAAATTAGTTTAAAAATATATATTTTATGTCAAGAAATAGCTTTACTCAGAGTATGTACTTACTAAAAATAAAGCCTTCTGGAATGATTATTATATATGTGCAAAAACATATGCTGAAGAATTCCAGAAGCAGTCGTTTCACACAAATAAACTGACTACTTAGTTTGAAACTGAAGGAATACATTCATCATGTCTCTTTCTAATTTCTATTCATACAAAAAAAGCAAGAAAAGGTCCTGAAAAATCTATAGCTTACCCATAGTTAGAACCAGCATTAATCATTGCAGAAATACTGAATAATCTAAACCAATTAATATCTATGTGGCTAACTGTGTATGATTAAAGTAAAGTCAAACTAAACTAAATTACTTTATTTTGATTATTTTGCCAAAGCACTGTATATTGTGAACAAGTGCCATTTTTTTTAAACCCTTACATATACACAGTGAAGTGACTAGCCTCAGGTGATGGAACAAATCCTCCTTCATACGTTGTACCAGTTTATCTGCAAGCCACCTCACCTCTACACTTGTTCACAGTACAAAGTACAGCTTTACTGAGCTCCAGAAAGCAGGAGGTGGGGATCTTATGTCACAGACTGCACAGCATGGAGCAGGGAGTTGAGTGTAATCTGAGATCTAAGTGGATCGAATGGACTACACAGTCTCAAAGGGAAACATGCATAGCTGAGGCTGTGACTCACCTGATGTGTACTTGAAAGGAGCAGGGTCCTCTCCTGGGATTGTTTGGTATTGGGATAACCTGTTATAAGTGACCCATGAAGATAGCAGAGGAAGGAGAGAGGAGACAGAAATCACACTAGGTGCTTTGGATAGAGGAAAGTACACACTATGGAAGGATATATTTTGTTCATTTTTGGATCAGTCTTTTATTCTAAGCTATAGGAGGTGGTCCCGGAGATTACCTATGGAGGGTTAACCCATTGTGTGCTGATGTGAGGATAGTCCAGGAAATATATATATTGTCTTACCATGACAAGATTTGTAAGCATCTACAGCCAGTTTTGTGATTTACACACTTCAGCCACATTAGCTTTACTAATTCCTTGACCACTTCTGGGTCAGAGGTGATGATGCTAACTCACTGTCCAACAAGCAGGCCAGCAGGCCAGAGGTTAAAAACTGATATAGGAAGCTGTATTACTGAACCAGGGAATTCATGTGTTCCCTGCCTGACTATACAGTGGGTTTACTGTTTAAACCACAGCATTGGCTGTAAAGAATAACAAAACATTTGCCAAGTAATACAGCAAATGTATGAAGTTTACTTTAAAAATGTTTTGGAAAATTACTCTACAATTCCAAACTGTGTTTAAAAGAGAAGTATGGGGTCACCTAGGTGGATGCAGCATCAATCTGATGCTGCATATATCCCCCACTGACTCTGCGCAGAGAACTGAGCAATCAAAAACTGCTGATTGCTCAGTTCTTCCCCTCCACTCTGAGCAGAGAGCCATGACTGTCAGTCAATGTTCTGCCCCTCCAGTGCTTACTGGAGTGCTGGAATGTGGAGGGGGCAGGTATGGCTGGCTCAGGCTCTCAGCAGATCACTACAAAGACTACATCACCTTTACCCTCAGCTTCTTTAGCAAGGCAGTGGTAGTCTTGGAGGTGTTTTTGGGGTCGTTATCATGTTGGAATGCTGCCCTGCGGCCCAGTCTCCAAAGGGAGAGGATCATGCTCTGCTTTAGTATGTCACAGTACATGTTGGCATTCATGGTTCCCTCAATGAACTATAGCTCCCCAGTGCTGGCAGCACTCATGCAGCCCCAGACCATGACACTCCCACCACCATGCTTGACTGTAGGCAAGACACACTTGTCTTTTTACTCCTCACCTGGTTGTCACCACACACGCTTGACACCATCTGAACCAAATAAGTTTATCTTGGTTTCATTAGACCATATGACATGGTTCCAGAAATCCATTTCCTTAGTCTGCTTGTCTTCAGCAAACTGTTTGCAGGCTTTCTTGTGCATCATCTTTAGAAGAGGCTTCCTTCTGGGACGTATGCAGACCAATTTGATGCAGTGTGCGGCATATGGTCTGATCACTGACAGTCTAACCCCCCCCACCCCTTCAACCTCTGCAGCAATGTTGGCAGCACTCATATGTCTATATCCCAAAGACAACCTCTGGATATGCTGCTGAGCATGTGCACTCAACTTCTTTGGACGACCATGGTGAGGCCTGTTCTGATAAACCGATGTATGGTCTTGGCTACCATGATGCAGTTCAGTTTCAGGGTCTTGGCAATCTTCTTAGAGTCTAGTCCATCTTTATGTAGAGCAACAATTCTTTTTTTTTTCAGATTCTCAGAGAGTTCTGTGCCATGAGGAATCATGCTGAACTTCCAGTGACCAGTATGAGAGAGTGAGAGCGAAATGTAACACACCTGCTCCCTATTCACACCTGAGACCTTGTAAAACTAATTAGTCACATGACACCGGGGAGGGAAAATGGCTAATTGGGCCCAATTTGGACATTTTAACTTAGGAGTGTACTCACTTTTGTTGCCAGCGGTTTAGACATTCATGGCTGTGTGTTGAGTTATTTTGAGGGGACAGCAAATTTACACTGTTATACAAGCTGTACACTCACTACTTTACATTGTAGCGTCATTTCTCCAGTATTGTCACATGAAAAGATATATTAAAATATTTACAAAAATGTGAAGGGTGTACTCACTTCTGTGAGATACTGTATATATATTTATATACACATATACATATATAAAATTGTGGTCACTTCTATCAATAGATGTGGATTTCACTTTATGTGTGTATTCGTTTTTGATCACTTACATCTATTGTAGTAGTTTTGGATCAGAGCTACGCTTTTCAGTTACATCACAACACAATTCATTGTGGCATGCTGCAATGCAAGTCAGAGCTGCGTTGCCTTGTTGCATTGGGGTGCCATTGAAAATAACAAATGTGTTTACTGATGGGTGTGAATGGGTCCTCAATTGATACATAAGATAACATACACAAAACATGGCAATTGATCTGAGCATTGTGGAACAACCCAACAGTGGTGCATGCAGTAGTTTAAATATACAGTATATGGTCTGAAAATCTGGAACAGTATAGAGTTTTTCACACTTTAAAGGTATAATAGGCATAGGGATTGTTATTATGCCTATTGTTTATCAATTTTATAGTAATAGCATCATAACAGCTAGGAAATATAAAATCACACTCTTTCAGATCAAAAGTAATCTTTATATTTTTTAATTCGGGTGAATAGGTGACATTTTTCTTGGATATTAATGTGTTTTATCAAATTACAATGCTGGCAACAGTACTTGCTTTGAAAGGACCATTTCCTGTAACAGAATCATTATGCTGTGAAGAAGGCTCATTTTAATATTGTTTTAAGTGAGCCAAATGTAATATATCATTTTTTCCCCAGCACTCTGTATAGAGGGGAAATTCCTTTTTTTATTTATTTGGTTTAGATTGTAGCAACTTTGGAAAGGGTTCTCCTGGGGGTGTTGTAAAAGCAAATAAACAGCAAGCCTTCCAGGAATTAGGGATCTTTAAAAATAAAAACAGATAAAAGATATAAAATAAAACAGCTGGGAATATTTATGCTTCTACTACAACAACTACCATTACTCTTACTAATAATAATTTAGCAGTAATAGTAAAGTCAATGTGCAGACTGTTGGCTCTATTTAAATTCTGAATAATAATAATAATAATAATAATAATAAAAAATAACCACAACTTTGCAGGTAAAGCAGAACATTACTAGTATTGGGGTGGATGTCTCGTGTACAGGACTTTTACATTTCAGCATGCCCTCCTTCAGTAATGCTATGTCTGCTTTAAAAATTTAAAGTTACAAGTACTTCAAGTACTAGGCCTTCATCAGAAACCAGGTGGCCCTTTTAATACATGATGTCTCAGGCCCTTTGCCTTCTGATATGTGATTATGTGCTATGTCAGATAACATAATGTATTGTTTTTGTTCTTTCACATTTGTGCAAAACACAAAATGACAGCTTCTCTCAATTCACTCATTTTGAAAATGGTATTTACATTCAAGTTGATCTCCAATTTATAGTATTTCATATTGAAAACATAAGACCTCAGATACAAGATTCCTGACAATGAAGCATTAAACTTGCTTCTCAAGTTGAAGAGTTACTAGGATCACTTTACCTAATCAGTTGTCAACCCAGTTCATTTGTTGCCTAAAAACTTTTCTCTGTCTTGGCAATTAACTCTAAATTTTTGATAGGATGATAGCACCATACCAGTTTGTATAGTTCTTTGAAAGATTGTTCCAATAGGCTTTTTCAAAATAAAATCTTTCAAATGACTATACAAACTGGTGTGGCATGCCAATCCTTTCAAAAATTTTAGTAAACTCCTCTGGGGGTCCAGTAGGACCCCACAGTTGCTGGTGAGCATCCTCTAGGACTGCAAACCACCCATCACATTATAATGCATCTTCATAAGGTTCCACTCTTCTACATCACAAAGTTAGCAATTAAATCTGTTCTGCTCATCTAGTTTGCCACTGACAGCATACTCCTTTTTCCTGTGTAGGGATACAGTATTTTTCCAAATTCTCTTGTTGTACTTTGTAATCTGTTAATGAGCTCTAGGCAGTTTAGCTTTGTGATGGTTAGTGTTTTCTAAACTTTGAGTAAATTAAAGATGAGCTCCAGCTTCAGGTACTCCATGGTATATTCTTACATACAGTAGTTACATTGGTCCAAGCTAGACTAATGTATCCATGTATATACCATACCTGGCCAATGCCTCTGGAAGCAGGAAATCACTGATGTAGACACCGCTACTCCACTGATCTCCATATGCTTCTGGGTCCCATGCTGAGCAGCTACCCTTTGGCATTCTGAACACAGGAGGTCGGCCATTTATCACGGGCTACATTCAGAGAATGTAAAGCATTCTCTGAATAAATACAAATGGTTCTCTAGAAGAGATGGAGAGGTAAGGCAGTGATGTCAAACTCTCCACCTCCTCCAATTAGAGAATGAGTTCATTCAGAAAATGCAAAAGCATTCTCTAAATGGTGCACATGCAGAGGGGCTGATCGCCTGTGTTCAGAATGTATCAGGCCAGCCACTCAGCATATGACCTGGAAGTAACTAAAGATCAGAGGAGTAGAGGTGTCTACTTAAGTTATTTCCAGGTTCAAAGGGGATCGGCCAGGTATGTATATACATAGTTACATTGGTCCAAAGCAATATATGTAAATATACATATCTGAAATTTCTCTTTAACATAGTCACATGCTGTGTAGAGCTGGCTCCAGCAGGGTGTGCTAGAGTTAACATTATGTGTTAAGGATGTTTAGTATCTGGCCAATCAGCAGGCTTGGGGGGCCTGCTATGCATGCTGGGCGAGATATTAAGTATATGAGGCACATCCTGGCACAGGGTTCTCCCTCTAGGGTTTTAACCTAGAAATCGATTACATTCCTTTGCCGCCTATCATCTTGGCGATGAGGTGTACTGAGCATCTATATTCATGATGAGCCTGTTATTTATCAATTAACATGTGAGTTGCCTACTTACTTTTAACCATTAAACTTGCATTACAGTCTACACTTAGAGGCGCTGTGTTTCTTCCTCTGTTTTACACTAGAAGAATTCTAGTTAGGTGTTTTCCCAAGTTTTTCCATGGGTCCTGCCCTCCACTTCATGTATATATAAAAGGGGGAATGCCGGGCTCAGGGGGAGTTCCGGGGAATGCATTTGAAGTGAGGAGTGAGGTTCCACCCCAGAAGACGTGAGCTGCACCTACTCACAAGTTACCCGCATGGGAACTTACCTCCTAAGGACTTTACCACGAATGACACCTGGACAGGCATGCCTGGCAGCCAGATGTTTGTTATATAGTTAGGAAAAGTTGTGACTGGACTATAGTCTCTAATGCTGCAGAACCTCCAGTAGAGATCTTAAACTGTTTAAAAGACTGGTCTGAAGTTACTATAAAGGGGTGCATGAGGAAACAGGGCCTGTAAAGTACACATGGGGTAGAAGAGGAAGGCCACTACCAGGTGATAACTCGATAGGACAGATGGAGGAGTATAGCTGCCATGGTAACCATGAACTGGTGGGAACATGTTAAGCAGCCAGTCAACAGCAGTACCTGGCGTAGATGACAGGTTCTCTGGTAGCGAGGGAGGTAGATGTTCTGCCTCCCTCCCTAGAAGTTGGTTCCCCTGAAAAGTAACCAAACCTGCAGTATGGAGACCCCATGTATCTCGCTGCATGGTATGGGAAAGAGAAGAGTTAATTTTGTGCATGCATGAGGTCCGCACTAGTGCATGGCGGGACCCCATTCCAGTGTTTTCCTGCTGCCTTGAAAGTTTAAGTTATCACCTGAGCCTCAGATGTACTGATGAGCCAAAAGTACCTGGGTTAAGTTCAAGCAGGGTTCAGCAAATATTGCCAAAGTTCTGAATCTGAATCCTATTAAAGTCATAAGGAGTTAATAGGCTAATAGGCAAGGGATTGTCAAACAAATTGGCTGGGGGAACAAGCACAGGGGGATATGTACAAAAGCAAAAAATTTTATTTTAGTAATGCTTAAAGTGAATCATTAAAAAAAACTCCACTAAATATGTAGGGGGATGTCTTGACCCTGCCTATGTAGCGGTGTATCTGTGCAATGTGCACAACCTACTGCAGCAAAACTCAGGAAAATATGGTGTTGTGTGTCCAAAGAGGGCTTCCAGTTTCCAATAAGTCCTCACCCGCAGACCCTCACAACCACCAGCCAGGGTTGTTTGGGACATTTGCAATGTAGCTATTCGGTAGCTGAAGTGTCATGTTCTTTTAAATGGATGTCTGCCTGCTCCACAATAGTACTACATTGCTCAAAAAAAGTAAAGGAACACTTTGAAAACACATTAGATCTCAATAGGGAAAAATATACTGGATATCTATACTGATATGGACTGGGTAATGTGTTAGGAACGTAAGGATGCCCCACAGTTTGATGGAAATGAAAATTATCAACCTACAGAGGACTGAATTCAAAGACATCCCAAAAATCAAAGTGAAAAAATGATGCAGCAGGCTATTCCATTTTGCTGAAATTTTATTGCATTAACTCAAAATGGTACTCAGTAGTTTGTATGGCTCCCACGTGCTTGTATGCATGCCTGACAATTTTGGGGCATGCTCCTAATGAGACAATGGATGGTATCTTGGGGTATTTCCTCCCAGATCTGGACCAGGGCATCACTGAGATGCTGGACAGTCTGAGATGCAATCTG